CTGGTCGCTGTGAACGACCCGAACGTAACCGTACACAAGAAGATCGGCGATCGGCACCAGTTTCAGTGCCGAGCGCTGGGCGTACCCCAGCCTCGCATACACTGGATTCTGCCCACGGGTCAGGTGCTGAACGGCTCGTCCAACACCGTTCACTACCTGTTCAAACCGGCCGGCAGTTTGGCACTGTTTCACCTGAAGCCCAGGGATTCGGGCGCCTATAAGTGTGTGGCCGAGAATATGTACGGCTCGGTCGGCGTCTCAATGACACTAATGATCGACAACATTGATCTCCATTTGTATCCGTTGACCATCGCTGCCAATTACGTCACACTGGTATGTATGAGAGCTATCATTAAACACGTGGTGACAATATTACCCCTAATGTTAATGCTTATGCTTATGCAGGTATGGAACGGTACGGGCCGTAACTCTTTCCACGAATACCAGATCATATACAAAGTGATCGACGAGACGAGTGCCACAACACCTGTGCCAACCCCGGCGGCCCTCGACAGCAACAGCACCGACAGCACCACCACAGCGGCCAACGGAACTCTGGCTGTGGACAGTGCTATGAAATACCGCTACGAGACGGTCACCGTTAACCACATGTTGCGCTCCTATAGTCTGACACATTTGGTGCCCAACACTAAGTACTGGATCTGTTTGACGGTGAAGGACGCCGACGCCCACAACGGCTACGTACAGCTGTCGTGCACTACGGTTGTGACCAAACCGGCCACACATACCACGGCTAAGGCCCCGTTGGCCGCCGCCGGCGCTGCCGGTCGCGAGTCGACCAACTTTGCGGTGGCCATCAGTATTAGCGTAACCATTTTGGCGGTGCTGTTCATGTACTTCGTGTATATGGGTCTGAAGAGGTATCGCATACATAGACAGTATGAGATACCGGTGCCGAAGTTGACCGCCGCTAACCCCTGTCCCCAAAGTGACCACAATTTGCCGCACATTCCGCTTGAAAACATCAAAAGTCCACTTATAAAGCATACAAGACATTGAATTATATGTTTATTCAATATATAATTATTATATACATGTTATGAATATCTCTACAAAATGCTTTTATGTTTAATTTTTTATGATATATTATAATATAAAATAAAAGTTAAATATATTTTTTAGCATAAAATCAAATTCAAAATATTTTATCCACAATTCACTCGTTTATTAACGCATTTAAATTACAAGTGAGTTATCATTAGCTTATAATCTGAACATAACATAACATATCATTATTTGTTTATAAAATGCTATTTAAAATTGAAATAAAAGTTTACAAATAATTCTAACTTAAAATATAATCAAACATTTAAATCTCTGTTTTTTATATAAATTACAACTTAAACGTGTAAATTGTTTTCTCAATGAAACTAACTGCCAATAAATTTATTAATTAATACTTGATTAATTATTATTAGTTTTTAATATTAAAAATTACACTGATTAATTTAGTAAAATTAATTAAACAAATATAAAATAATATTCTATATATACTGTATATTATATAGAAATTATTGTAATTATATAAATGATAATTAGTTTGAGATCTGAAAGTCGACATCAAATCCATCATTGATGTACTGCCGATGCCTTATAACAACATCCAACTGATGCCTTATATTATCCATACTATCACTTAACAGACACTTATTGTCCAACTTATGGCAACTTTGCTTAACATAAACTCTTCGCCAAACATTTCTTGTGGTGAAACCAAATAGTTTGCGGAAAATACCTCTCAGCCATTGCTTCCGGTGCTTATGAACAGCCCATCGGATCCGATATGTGTTGTCATCGGTTGACAGTCCCTCAAGAGGTTCATCGGTTACCTTCAATAGCATTATTGTCGCTGACATTGAGTTTATTATTGCAAACTT